CTCGGCGGAGCAGGAGGAGGAGGAGGAGGAGGAGGAGGAGGAGGAGAAGGAGGAGGAGGAGGAGGAGGAGGAGGAGGAGGAGGCGGAAAAGGAAAAAGAGAAGGATGAGGAGGAGGAAGAGGAGGAGGTGGAGGAGGAGAAGGAGGAGGAGGAGGAGGAGGAGGAGGAGGAGGAGGAGGAGGAAGAGGACGAGGACGCGGAAGACGCGGAGGACGAGGAGGACGAGGAGGAGCGGGCGGGTGGTGGTGGGGGGGTGGCCTACAGGGAGGGTGGAGAAGGGGGGCCCTGAATGGGGTTGTGGAGGGCCCCTTTCGGAACCAACACGGCCCAGAAGAAACCCTGAAGGGCTCCTTTCGGGCCCTGTTTTTCACCCCGCATTGATGTCACCCCCCGTTCGAAAGGAGGAACAAGTATACAGATACCACTGCCCTGGCTCGGTTTTCCATGTTTGGACCTCCTGGGAAACCCTTGTCAACACGGCTGAATTCGCCACGAAATTCGGGTCAAAACGCACACCGTGAGAGGTCTGGGGCGAGGCTTTTTGGTTCCCAGTAAAGGCCTCCCAGATGGGGTCGGAGTAGATTAGATGGGGTCTGAAGATCGCGCTGCATCAGCGTCGCATCGGCGATGCATCGGCGATGCGTCGACGACGTCGGCCATGCATCGGTGCCATCCGCCTGGAGAGAATCGGGCTCCGCATCCAGCCGCATCGCCGGTGCATCGTCGCTGCGGCGCGATCCGCTGGCCCCATGCGCTCGGACCCCATATTGGAGGCCTAAACTTCAGGCATGGAGGAAACCCTAATATCCTGTCGTTGCATTTTTCCGCAGATAACGATTTTGACTTGCTTCGCGTTCCGGGACCAGCACGAATCGGTTTGGCTCGAGAAATGCCGCGTGAATTGGGCGCGACTTAATGGTGGCGACAAGTGTGGGGGGGGCAGAGACTGAGAAGGCAGCAGAAAAAAAACCTTTCCGGGTTTCTACAAGGACCCTCACGGGTCCACAAGGGAACTAGCTTGAAGGGCCCCCCCTCCATTTATCACCCCCCATGAATTCGCGCCCAAATCAAATTGGCGTTGGGGATTACGGTCTCGGTCGGAATTTTCACGAAGTTGCAATTCGCTCGTGACGTTGGATATCGCGGAGCGGGCCCCGAGGGAAACGGGCCCTTGAGCCTGCAGATTCCCCCCGGGGACCAGCTGGAGCCCGAAGGCGGGGAAACGCCCCCACCTCCGGCACGAAGGAGGCCCGCATCTCCGACGATGTGATTTCCAGATCCTGGCGCTGTTTCGCCGACCTCGGCCTCCCAGGTCCGCACTCGGGCACCGGGGGGACCCGGGGCGCGAACCAGCCCAGGGCAAGTGGTCGCGAACACTGGGGCCGCGGAGCGAAAACATCTCATCGCAGGAAGCCCGGGAACGGGTGCCTGGGAGCTGGGCGGCCATACGTGGTGGGGGGGGTACGTGGGGGAGTCGAAAACAAGCTGGTAAGCTTAGGTATGTGTTACGCTTTAAGCGCTGCCATATCCCAGGCTTTGGCTCATATCGCATGAGCAAGAGTGCAAGACGAAGCATGGGATCTGGAGTAAAGGATAGGATGGGCATCGTCAATGGAAAAGGTATTTTCCGATCTCTGATGCAAGTCGTGCGCCTCAGTGAGGCACAGTCATATATTGGCCGGGCCCGGCTTGAGCCAGGCACGGCAGCGGTACATGCTCGATTTATACCTCGCCTTTAACCTTCTCCGTTTAAAGTCGGAGGGGGAGGAGACGAGCAGGTACCGCACTTCTACATTATGCGGAAAAAACAGTGCTAAGCAGCAGCGGCTGCCTACAAGGAAAGGGCGCGCGAGTAGCCTCGCTACCGGCGAGTTTCCTCGCTACTAAAGCGCACCTGCCCGCGGGTTTCCCCGCTGGCTCGGGAGGCAGGGCCGTCCTGAGACGACCTGCCCGCCCTATACGGCGTATGTTTCTTCAGCTCGTGCTTGAAGGATTGCTGGCCGGCCATTACTTGTAGGAGCAACGCGCGGTCAATACTACCTTTGGTATGACCATCGGCAGTCATATCCCGCGTGTCACACCATTGGACGCTTTCCACGATTCCGCGTTCCATCATCTGGCGGATCCAGCTGATGTGCCCAAGCAGAGTACATTCTGTGGGCTTCTTCAGATCTTTGCTAGACAAAGACTTGAAGACAGACTCGGCATCAATAGTCAGAGTGACTTTGATACATAGACCACCCATTTCCAATATGTTCTTAACTGTGTGGGGGTCAATGGTCCCGAGTGTAGCTCGTGGAGCGTTACAATGGTCGGGTAGCAGTCTTCCAAGTTGTGGGCTGCTGCCAGTGTTTCCGCAGAGTAGCTCGAACGCACCTGCAGTCGATGAGACTTGCAGTATGCGTCCACCAGGTGCACGACGGGTTTCCCCGCTTGCGTGTGGCCACGCCTCAGCAGGTTAGCCCCGCGGATACCATAGCCTTTGACTTCGTCGTCTTCATCTCCGTTGAGACGACGATAGCCAGAATCGCTATGCAGGTCGACTTCTCCTGTTGGGGTCATAGCTTGATACACGATCTTCTTCGGACCTGCCTGTAGCTTTCTGGTAACCGCGTTTAGTCGTCGTACCTGGATGTTTGTCGGTTCCTGGATACGTTGTAGTGAGACAACATAGACCATCAGCCATACCTGCGTGATCAACGCATAGGCTAGAGCGCCACGAAGACTGACGAACATATCAGAAATCGTCTTTGTCGCTTTGCTCTCAGGATCAGCTCCTGTGAGTTCTGGATGTGTGATAGGACGAAGCTGTTTGATGTATTCGTCCTGATCGAGAGTGACGCTCCCATCATCGGTCTTGTTGTACCGAACAGCACAGTTTGTGTATGTGTGCTTGTTCAGTTTGCACTTCCCAAACGTATCTTCAACACACTTGACATACTTGTCAATAGCCTCTTCCTTCCCAGTCATATTGATGTCATCAACGTGCTTGGCTGTCAAGAGGTTTGGGCTCATCTCGAACTCTTCGTCGTATGAAGTAGGCTGTAGCCCAAAGCTCCTAGTGATGGACCTGAGCTTCAGCGAGAATGCCCTGGGAGCATCCTTCGTGCCCGTCCCCGGTTTCAGACACCGGAGACAATGCTTTGATTCGTCATATGACTCAAAGCCTGGCAGTGTGCGAAGGACAGCTGCTGACCCAGGTGGTAGTGTGAAGCACACCACACGCTCTTTCTCGCCCGTTGCCGCGGCGAGCTCGCCATAGGTCAGTCCCTTCAAGAAAGCCATGTTGATGTCCAGGGAAGCGATGATCCAAGCTTTGTTGCATGCAGCAGAACTTGCGAGCAGTCTCTGGCTTGACCTCCTTGCCGTGCCAGAGAAGGTTTCGACATCAAAGGCTTCAAGGTCCATGAAGCCACGGAGTACCAAGCGTAACCTGATCGTCCTTTCCATTTCGCCCTTTTCGTTCTTGACAAACTTCCATTTGTATACGTAGCGTGACGTCATGATGTTAGACGCCTTGCTTAAGTCAGTCATCTGGAAGCATTTGTTGTCAAGCCAAGTCTTCAATTCTGTGTAGAGGGCTTTGGAAACTTTGACCGGATTTGCTTGGATGTCGGCCTTCGTGAGTAGATCGTCTTCCTTGACGACCACGGCACGTTTGGAGGCAGCGCTAACGTATACTCGCATAGTTGTGACGCTGCTGTCATCCAACAATCGGTGTTGCTGCTCGGACAGGACGACTTTGGACATGTCTGCAGTGAAGCAGAGCTCGATGTACTTCCCGTGCTCATCGGAGTCCAGATCATATTTGCTATCCGGATCCGTGGAGCATAAAGGAACGTAGTAAGAAGTGTCCATGTCGTATCCTGGCGGGCGACCCCGCTCCGGCAAGTGGCCTTGCACATCTTCACAGGTCGTAGAGACTAACACACACTGTGTGTCTGTCATGTATGTGGGAACTGTATGCATGACTTCCTCTGTGTCAGCTTCAAGGAGTGTTTTGTCATCCATCAGTTCAGCATACCACGACTTCAAGACAAAAGCATCCAGATCTTCTTCTGTTTCCTCTATGATGGTCGGGAGCCGACCATCGTTATCCGTAGGAGGCTCCTCAGGAGCAGCTGCTGGAGGTGATTCGCTTGGTGGTGGACCATCAGCGAGTTCCTCAAACTTAGTGAGGTCTTGGTCAAATCCAGCAGACGGCTTCCTGGATTTAAGACACTGGATGATGCGTGAGTGTGTAGATCCTGTGATGTCATAGATGTTCAAGGCAGTGCCATCAGCTTCATAGTAATGAAAACCAGGGGTCACATCATTATCATAGTGCACTAGTGTACAGCTGTCTGCATAGGGTGCAGCAGGCAACTTCGTCAGGCTCTTGGCAAGTCGTACAGCAACAACGTTTTCAATACGAAAGTAGTTGCGTATGAGGTACTGAAGAGCCAAGTGCACCTTAGGCGAAAGTCGGCTCGCAGCAGTCATCTGCAGCCGACCCTGTTTCGCTGGTAGATATCCGAAAGTCATGGCGGGTTTCCCCGCTGGCAGACCGGCAATAAAGGCCAATACTGTCCGAAGGGCCGTATTGTCCGATCCTATCTCGCGGACCATAAGTGCTTCGATGTACAGTGTGTGTCGTGTGTCAGGATACTGTACTCGCACTTCGCGACTGCCGACCTTCACGATGACCTGGCCTCGGTCAGGTTCGTTGCGGATGACCGGGTATGGACCACTCCATCCACCCCAGTCGTCTTTCGTGGTGGTCGGGCGATGATAGTCCACGAGATCTCCCTCTTTGTAGTGAAATTCACCCGTAGCAGTAGTCTTCGTACGGAGAGCCCTGTTCGTCTTGGCAACCGCAGTGGCCTGCGTGATTGCCTCCAGACTAACCCTCCTGATTGTTTCCTCCCTTGAGTGATCTGATGATTCAGCGGACTGATCATGATCCAAGACAGGGAAATCGGGAAGCATAGCTGGTTGTCTGCCATACAGCGCATTGTACG